TAAACTCCAAAAACTTCCCCGTTTTCTTTTTTTCCTTTTTTTTTTTTTTTTTTTTTTTTTTTTTAAAAAAACCCTTTTCTGTCAATAAAACCCGCCTCTTCTCAGTCTGAACACTGATTCTATTTTCTGGAATGAAGCGCTGCTCAATTCTAGACTCACCAATAGAGCCAATGAAGATCTGGAAAATTGTTGTAATTTTGTCTTTTGGCAGGTGCTAGGTGCACACATGAAGGTGTCACACTGTTTTCCTGACAGTGCTGGAGCCAGCTTGCACTGAGTGGTGCAGCCCTGTCTCAGTCACACAAATTCCTTCTGGAGATAAATTCCCTATGTAATGGTTTGTTGGTTTCCCAGGCTGACAAAGCTCCCCCACTCCAAATTGTGAGTAATTTTATTGATGAATTTTCTTATTCATTCAATGGATGTTTGTGTCCCTCCAAAATTCCTATTTAAAAATCCTAACTCTCAAGGGGCTGGAGAGATGGGTCAATGATTAAGGGTACTGGCTGCTCTTTCAGTCGACCTGGGTTCAGTTCTCAGCACCCACATAGCAACTCACAACTGCTTGTAATTCCAGTTCCAGGTGATCTGATGCTCTTTTCTGGCCTCCATGGGCATCAGACACACATGTGGTACACTTATTATAGCCATGTAGGCAAAACACTCATACAATTAAAAAAACGTTTAAAAATCCTAATTCCCAACTGATAGTTTTAGGAAATGGGATTTGTGTGAAGGGGTCGGGTGGTAAGAATGGAGCCCACATAAAAGGAATTAATGTCTATAAAAAGAGAGAAGAGGGGCCAGGCATGGTGGTGCATGCCTTTAGTCCCAGCACTTGAGAGGCAGAGGCAGGGTGATCTCTGTGAGATTGAGACCAGCATGGTCTACATAGTGAGTTCCAGGCCAGCTGTGGCCACAGGGAGACCCTGTCTCAAAAAACCAAATGGGGGAGTATCTGGTAATATGACTCAGCAGGTAAAAGTGCTTGCTGCCAAGATTGAAGACCTGAGTTCAATCCCTGGAACCACATGGTAGAAGGAGAGAACAGACTCCTGAAACTTGTCCTCTGGCCTCTCTGTCCTGCAACAAACAGTAAATTAATAAATAAATGTGAAAAAAAAATGTTTTTAAGAAAGAAGAAAGCTGGGGCTGGAGAGGTTGCTCAACAGTTAAAAGCACTGACTGTTCTTTCAGAGAACCCTGGTTCAAATCCCAGTACCCACATGGTGGCTAACAACCATCTGTAACTCCAGTTCCATGGGCTCTAATGCTCTCTTCTGTCCTCCACAGGCACTGCACAATATGGGTGCACTTACATACATGCAGGCATAACACCTATACACATGAAAATAAATAAATAACTTTTTTAAAAAAGAGAGAAGAAAGCTTTTCTCTCTCCTTTGTGTGAGGGCTGAGAACACAGAAGGAAAACCACCTGTATGCCAGGAAGTGAGCCTCAGCCACACCTTAACCTTGATTTACTAGCCTCTAGAACTGTGTTTAAGACACCTATCTAAAGCAATCTGAGCAATGGATACTGATTAAGAATTCTTCTCTTTGTTGCTACATATATAGAAAGAGACTCAAATAATGTGGAAAAGGAGAAAAATTGAAACTAAGACATTTTTCTATACAAAATTAAATAATGATGTCAACACTGTGTTCTTTCCCTGCTGTGACTCTGGGGCCATAGGAAGAGCAAGGGAGATGTTTCATCCTATAGTCAACCTGACAGCTACGGTCCAATGCTACTGACAAGTAGCCCAGAGAAGGAGCTCCAGCAGAGGTTTTGATAGACCATCCCTCCTCTGCCTCACACTAGGCAAACCTGTCACTGTGGGGAAAAAAAAAGAACAGTAATTGAATGTCTACCATATGTTATGAACTGCATTTTGTACTTCATGCTCCTCTGTTTGTTCCTTCTCACAGTCCTATGAGGAAAGTGTTATTGGGCCCATTTTATAAATGAGAATTGGTAACTCAGATGTCTAAATAACTTGTCCAAAGCCCTCTAGTCTGAAAGAGCCAGAAATTAATCCAACTCTGATTCTAGAAATCACTATCTTTTCTATTTATCAGGTAAACACGGCTCTGATTAGTATATGACTTTAAAAAAAAAAAAAACTGACCAAATAAAATAGTCTTCAGGGTTTATTAGTTGACCACTGACATGAAATTCACAACTGTTGGCTTCTGACTTTCCAAGCAAGTGTGCATTAGTAAAGCCTGTCATTGGCATTAGCAAAGACAACAATGCTTCTCCCTCTGGCAAGATGGCTCAGCAAGTAAAAGCGCTTGCCACTAAGTCTGAAAATTTGAGTTTGATTCCTGGTACCCACATGGTAGAGAGAGAACCTATTCTTGAAAGTTGTCCTCTGACCTTCACAGGGGTGCCATGACACAAGTACACTAACACACATACACACACAAAATAAATAAACAAACAGATTGATATAGATAGATCAGTAAGTAAATGTAGTATGAAGCTTAAAAAATAGTTGAGATGGCTCAGAGGTTAAGAACACTTGCTGTTCTTCCAGAAGACCCAGGTTCAATTCCCAGCACCCACATGGCAGCTAACAACTGTCTGTAACTCCAGTTCCAGGGGATCCGATGCCCTCTCTGGCCTCCAAGGACTTTGCACAGCATGGGCACACTTACCTACATGCAGACAATACATTCATACACATAAAATAAATAAATAAAAAAAATATAAATACATTATATATATATATATATATATAATAGGTGCTATGGAACGCTTAGATCCATTTTTAAAGTGCTAATAATTTGAACAAAATATTACCTTCAGAATGAATTGAGTTCCCATTGAACCTTGAGATCTGATCCAAGTCCTGGTGTATTTGAGCTTCTCTTGAACCAGGCATACTATTAAAAAGAAATTTGTTCATTATTTAAATTGTTCTTCTGAGAAGACATTTTATTTAAAAAATACAATTCACCAGGGCTGGAGAGATGGCTCAGCAGTTAAGAGCACTGCTTGTTCTTGCAGAAGACCCGGGTTCGAATCCCAGCACCCACATGGCAGCTAACAACTCTCTGAACTCCAGTTCCAGGGAATCCGACAGCCTCTTCTGACCTCTGCTAGCATTGCACAACATGGGTACATTTACCTACATGCAGGCAATATACACATATGCATAAAATAAAAATAATAAATAAAAAATTTAAAAAGTACAATTCACTGGAGGAATCGAGCCATATTGCCAACCTGTCAATGGTACACTGTGCACATTGAAAACACCTGTATGACAGGTGCAGGTTTAACCAGGATAAGAGAAATCCATCAGTTAGTCACTGCCTCACCGTGAGCTGAGTACATAACACAGAAATTTGACTTGGCGAGATAAATAATTTGCTGTATCATAGCATTTATAAAGAGTGGACTCAAGAGTTATACCTCATTTTTTTGGTCCTAAACTCAAACCCTTTCCCCTTTATAAGCTCATACAATACAAATCTATAGAGAGCTGGTGTTTTACAATTCTTTTTTATTTGATCTTTGGGTTTTTGTGGTGCTGAGGATGGACCCAGGGCCTCAAGCATGCTGGGCAGATGCTCTGCCGCTGAGCTGCACCTCTCACCATCCTCTTTTCAAGTCTGCTTTTGTAAAGCTCATTTCCTTTGAAATGAACAAATAGTTATAACAGATTTCTCCTTTAAAGTATCTCATCCAGAGGCCTATACCAATTCTAAATAGGTCATGATCCAATATTTTCCAACTCGAGTTTATCCCAATTTATAGTTCCCTTTAGCTTTGCAAAACGGCTTACTGCTTTCAGCATACAAATATTCCAAAATGAGATGCTAGGGTATTTCATACCCCAATGACCAAAATGAATCAAAGGAGCAAATTATTGGTCACACACATCTGTGTTAGGATCGACTCTCTCTCTGTTCTAGAATATGCATGGAAGGCTGGACAGTAGCTCAGTTGTAGAAGATGTGTTTAGCATGCATTAGGC